CCATGCAAACCCAATACAGCTCTTCAGTTAAAGAATGGTTTAGGAAATTGTTCTTGGCTTGTATGTTGTATGAACTTGGGTAGAATTGGTGCATTGAATGGACTTGGGTAGAATTGGTGCATTGAATGGACTTGGGTAGAATTGGTGCATTGAATGGACTTGGGTAGAATTGGTGCATTGAATGGACTTGGGTAGAATTGGTGCATTGAGTGGACTTGGGTAGAATTGTTCCCATTTGAGGCTCTCTGTTCTGATTTATGGTTGCATTTTAAATACGTAGCATTTTAAAATATGACATACTTTGCTACAAAACGGTTTTAACCTGACGGGTTGCTCGTGCCTTAGCTGAACCTCTGTTCTTAATTCTCTGTATTTCAGGAAGCAGTTTAAATGCCATTTATCGCTACTACAATAAAAAAGGGGAGAAGCCGAAGATGAAGTGGAGTATAATTGACCGATGGCCCACACATCCCCTTCTCATTCAGGTATGGATTTGTACGAGAGCTTTTGAAGTTGGCAGTTAGAACGAGAGGTGTGAACTGAACAGGTCTGATACGTGATCAGATTGACATTCCCTGGGGTTTTCTTAGATTGGTTGGCGTAGGAGAAACTGGGAATCTTTGCATTGCCAACTGACTTTAAAACAACAAAGAACTAAGTCAATACAGATGTTTCCTTTTTAGTAATATTGGCTGCCAGTAAAAACATAATACAGTGTTAATCAACAGAAACATTCTGAGGGAACACTTCACTGAGCTCAAGTCTTAGCTTCTAACAAAGCCTACAGGATTTTTAGCTCTGGTATGTACTAAAAGAAGACGAACCTGTTTGATTTAGGCTGTGTTTATGTATTTTCTTTAAAAAAAAAAAGAAAAAATACTCAAATAAAAGGAATGCTGCAGTTTGAGGGTACACTTTTGTTATGGTAATGAAGTGTGTCTGATCTACTGTGTATGAAATCAGAGGAGAAGGATGGTTATTTCATGCCAGATGCTTTGGCGAGGTGAGTGAAAGTGACCACCGTGCACATGCTGTTTTAAAAGCAGGGTCGTGTTACCATAACAGTGTTGGCTGGAAGGAACCTCTAGAGGTCCTTAGTCCCAGCTCCTGCTCGGAGCAGATCTGTGGTCAACACCCATATGGATTGTGGTGTTTTGTCACATTCCCATCTGGCAGCAGAGAGGTAATTCTGGGCACAGCGCTGGCCGTGGCGGGAGCCGTTCAGGGAAACCCTCTCGCTCCTTCCTTTTCAGAGAACATGGCATTTTTGTCTTTGTTGGGAAGCTTCTCCTCTAGAGACAGAGTCACAGAGTCACAGAATCACAGAATATTAGGTGTTGGAAGGGACCTCGAAAGATCATCTAGTCCAGCTCCCCTGCCGGAGCAGGGTGTGTTGGGACTGGGCACCGGTGATGCTGTGTACTTGACACTGTGTCATATGTGCTGCCTCTCGCTATTGTCCCACACATACCGAAGGGAATTTTGAAGTTCTTGAGGCAACCTGGGACAGTGAAGCTGCCTGTCTCGGGTCATTTGAGATCACATAATGCCTCTCAGTGTTTCTGATGCAGATCTTTGCTTTTTTTTTTTTCTAAACAGTGCTTCACTGATCACATACAGAAGGAACTGAACCTGTTTCCACCTGACAAAAGGAAAGACGTCGTCATCCTCTTCTCAGCTCACTCTCTGCCCATGTCTGTGAGTTACATCAGGTTGTTCTGTCACTGTTAGGCCAGGGTCACACCGGCTGGGCTGAATGGAAGGGTGGGCAGCTCGCACACCAGTGGGGCAGGGCTGCAGTTGTGGAAGTGCCAGGCAAATATGAAAGAGAAATGTGCAGGTGAGTTAGTGAGTTGCAGGGGGAAGCCTGATGCGGAGCTGAAGGGGAGGCACGTGAGCTGTGGTGACTGTCCTGCGTGCTCACTCGGATCCGCGCTGCTGGCCACTGAAGTTGGGGCGTGAGGTTAGGCCAACTTGATGTGGCTGCTCTCATGACTTGCCATCTCAAACCCAGATGGTAACAGAGGGGAAAATTTGGTTGTTTTCCCACCTCTAGAAAGCGGTGATAATGCTTTCCCTGAAGGCATGAAAGTAAAATCTTTGCGAGGTTACAATAAATGATTTGCTCCTCTGTCAGCAGCTGCAGTGGGACAGCTCTCGGAGCATTTTTCAGAGATGCAGTGCTGTTACCAGTATGTACCTGTATTATATACGGTGATAGAAGATTTTATCTTTTATTGTGTGAAGGAGGAGGAGTAGATGTTCTGGTAAAGCAGCTTCATCATAAGTTTTGTAGGGCAAGAATGTAGTTTTTCTTCCCTGTTTTGGATCAGCCGGGCAGTTGGTAGGGCTCATCCTGGGCACAGCCACATCACACACAGCACGCTCACCTTGCCCGGTCTTTAGGAGGTCTTTGCCCAAACACTTTCACTGGAAGGTAAAAGTCTAGTGTTTTTGTGCTGAAGGTTGTGAACCGTGGTGACCCGTATCCTCAGGAAGTGGGAGCTACTGTCCAGAGAGTCATGGAGAAGCTGAACTACTCCAACCCTTACAGGCTGGTGTGGCAGTCCAAGGTATGTGCTCAGGGAAGCTGTGAGGCCATCTACCACTGTAATGCTCTGCAGGTGATGGGGTTTATGATCTTCCAGCTTAAGGGGATCATAACCTCGGTGCTTCTTTCCAGTTTTCAGCAGGTATTTCTGCTAGAAAAGAATCTCCATCTTTTACTCAAATTCAGTCTTTCCGGATACTTTTTATCCACCGTTTCTCACCTTTTTTGTATATTGCATCGTTTCAAAGTAGATTTTTGGTGTGTCCGTTAGAAAACCTATGATCTCATAAGGTCTCGTTTAGTTTGGCATTTCTCTTTCTCTGTCAGAAGGAAGAATCGAGCACTCACTGGATTTTTAAGCTGTTGCTTTTTGAGAATCTCTGAGCAGTTTTTCCAAAGTCATCACGCTGTGAAATAGGCATTTGTAATAGGAATATGAGCCTAATCCAAACAGCCTGCCTTATTCTTGACGAAGGCTGCTGGCATGACTTTGTGCTGACCATGACTACTGCAAATGGCAAGGAACACAACTTTTAGCAGGATTTTGTAGTACAAGTATAACCTTATGTCTCGGGGGCATTACAGCTCTCGTGCCATTGCTGTCTTGTTCTTTGGTTGCATTTTGTAGTACATCAGCACTGAATGCTTCGTGGATCGGAAAGGGGTAAGGACAGTTTGCTCCATCCAGAGTGCTGACTTCTTTGAAAGGTTTAAACCCTGTGCAGTTGTGGTCAGGGCTTTATTGAACTGAAAACAGTAGACCTTTATTGAAATTTCCATTTACTTTAATGAGAGTCTCATTTAGACCAGCCCAGGTTCTGTTTCTTTGGGATTTAAATGACAAGACAGTATGTTTTCATAAAAATGTAATGGAGAAAGTGAGAGGTACGGTCAAAAGCCAGGAAATACAAATAACTGGCTCCGTCTGAAACATAATCCAGTCTGTGTTGTCCTGCTTAAGAAAACGTGGGTGTTCTTTGTAAGAATGATTTATTGTTTGGGGTTTTTTTGGTGGTTGGTTTGTTTGTTTGTTTGGTTGTTTTTTTAATTCTCCCTCCTTTTTTTCCAGGTTGGACCGATGCCTTGGCTTGGTCCACAGACAGATGAGACCATTAAAGGGCTGTGCCAAAGAGGAAAGAAGAACATGTTGTTGGTCCCAATAGCGTTTACAAGCGACCACATTGAGACACTTTATGAACTGGATATTGAGTATGCCCAAGTTTTAGCAAATGAGGTAAATGTCTTCTAGTTTTTATAACTGTTTCAATAGTGGTGCTCTGAATTTACTTTTCCTGATTTGAAATTGGCTTTGTAGTTACTTTTTTGCAGTATGATTTGGGGCAAACTTAATTTTTCTGTAAATTGAAAATTAATCTGAACTGGTTTAACTCAGAATTCTTAGAAACAAAAAACAAGCAGGACTTTGTCTTTCTGGACTTATTTTTTTAAGCCACTACTATCCTTACTAAAAAAGAATCGTTGATTTTTGTCAGCAAAGTGAAATAGTTATTTTTGCTGTATGGAAAAACATGGTATTGCATTTAATGCCATCAGTTTGGGGCAACGTCCGAATGAAGCAGAAAGGAAGATTTTGCAGGCTAACTCGTGAAGGATTTATCACACTTAACTTCTCTTCTCCTTATTTTTCATTCAGTGTGGAGTTGAAAATATCAGAAGAGCCGAGTCTCTGAATGGAAATCCACTGTTCTCCAAGGTATCTTCTTTGTTGTAACAGTTTGCAGTTGTGCGTTTCCTACTAGATTATGGATGTCTTCTGGTAGTTTTAAGGTATTTTGAGTTTAAGAGCAAAAATGGAAACCCCTGTGCTTAATCTGTGTACCACAAAGTGTTTTCTTTTACCACAGTTCGTGTGTGTTTGTTTGTTTTTTAAAAAGTTCAGAAGTTTGGTTTGGCAAAAAGGAACATCTTTTAATGAAATATTTCTCTTGCACTGTTATGCCAGTGTTGTTTTAAAGCAGAATTGTCCCCTGAATTAAAGGGAAATGGTGCTTAAAAGGTGCAGCCTGATGGGCACACAGTTTGGCAGGACACTTGTTAAAGCGCGTGTTTATTTTATGCAGATAGGTTTGCTCACTTCTGATGTTTAATGAATTGTCTTTCAGGCTCTGGCAGACTTGGTCTGTTCACACATCCAGTCGAATGAAATCTGCTCGAGGCAGTTAACCCTCTGCTGCCCGCTCTGCGTCAATCCTGTCTGCAGGGAGTCAAAAGCCTTCTTCACTAACCAGCAGCTGTGATGGGGAATGGGGCCAGCGCCGCTGGACTGCGCAGGGAAACGGCCCTGGTGAAGCAGCGCCCTGGGGAGGAACCGCTGCACCAAACCCTCCTGTTACACACCGGCAGCCTGGTGGTCTGTGGTGTCAGCCTCCTGTAACAGTGAGGAGAACCCAATTTTTTAGTTTGATTTTTTTTTTTCCCCTTATGTTACCTTTGTTTGAGAAGGGTTTGTAGAAGGTAGGGAAGTACGGGCCTTCATCCTGTGAGACGTGGAAAGATCTTGTTCCACCCGAGTCTGATTGGACTGAGCATGAGCCCATAAGTACGCACTGAGAAACTTAAAAAAGCTTTTTTACAAATGAGCTTCTATTTCCTATGCAGGGATTTATTTGTATGCAGTTTTGTCAGGAGTGCATTAATTTCAACTTCCCAGGTCAAACATAAAATTATTTGTTTTGTTTATGCTTGAGGTACAGTATAACCAGCATAGTCATCGATTGTCTCTTCTGAGAGTGATTTTTCAGATGGGCTTGAAGATCAAGTGACTTCTAATGCTTTTTAAATAATGTGTGTATATATATATATTTTATTTTTTTTTAGGTCTTAAAGATAAGGCTTTGTTTTGGTTTTTTTTTTGTTTTGTTTTGTTTTTTTCCTCCTGCCAGAAACTTCCGGTGAAAGCCCAACTGGGATAGTAGAACGCACAAGATTTGTTTACATTTTCTAGGAAAAACACTTGTTATCTGCAGGAAAGCCTCTGCATATGAAGAGCATAACATGAAAAAGGAGTAAGCCTGCTTGGGTGACCTTCAGCTGTAACCAACCGTGCGTGTTTCCGACCTCGCAGCCATCAGTAGCACCTACTGAAACACGGTGGCTCATCTTTTAAGCAAAATGACTTTTAAAAATTATTGTTAAAAAGGGATTTCTCTGTTTGGTTAAGTAAATTTAGGAAGTCAGGCTTACTCTCCAGAAGGTTTATAGATCTGCTCTGTGCTTTCTACTGTGCCACAGTGCTGTGGTTTTTGTGGGATACCTATGGAGTTCCATAGGTACAATTAGCTTAATTGAGTTGTTATTTAAAACTGAGATGGTAAGTCAGGAGTAATTGGGGTTGCAGAGGCCTGAGAGCCGGCCGCCTCCCACGCTGACAGCCTGGCGCTTGGGCAAACCTCTGTCAGAAGCTGGATTTTGTCTGTTGGGTTTTTGGCTCCTAACCCAGCTACACCTCCTGCTTGTCTTGGCAGGTGCTTGGGTGCAGCAGCACTGCTGAATCCACTCAGTTTTGTGGAGTGAAAAACTATTTTAGGGCAGAATTCCCTTGCTGTCAGTACTGGGACCAGTATACGGGTCAGTCTTGGGGGCTCTGTGGAAAAGCTGGTCACCACACAGCACGCCTGAGCTCAGCACTTGAAGTAGTTGAGGGCAGAAGTATCGCAGCACCTCCATCAGCGGTCCTCTCGCCCAGGGACCTCTCCTCCTGACGGGGACGGGGGACAAAGGAGGAGCAAAGCTGTGACAGTGCCCTGTGAGACTGAGCCGTGTGCGTGTCAGTCGTGTCAGCTTCATGGCACAGATGTTTACTTTACGTCATCAGCACTGAAATGCCAGGACTTCAGACAGTTTTATTTGCTTATGTAATTAAGAGGCACAAACAGTTTGAACCTCTGATCTTTCCAGGGTAGGGTTGTTTAAAAAGAGAATCAGCCTCTGCTGGTATCACAGGGGTTTATCTTGTTCTGTTTTATGCTGAAAGTGAAACGTGGGGTGCTAACGAAATGAAGGGTTGCTGTGTTGATCAGCTGGTGGGCCAGGTTGTGCCACGGAGCGGTGTAAATCCTGCTGTACAACCTGGCTAGGGTAGGTTGACTGAGTTATCTCCACTGCCATACTGCAGCTTCCCAGTGGGATTATGGTGAGACAGACTTAAACCCCCTCCGTGCCAGAGCCTCCTATGTTGCTGCTGTCCCTCCTTGCTTTAGCAGAGAGAAGTCTTCCGTGGCCCTTTGCAGCCGTGCCTCTTTCAGTGGCAGGGAGCTGCTGTTCTCCCCTCCTTGGTCTCTGCTCGCTGCCTTGGCAGGAAGAAGGAGCGCACAGCTGATTCCTGCCCTTGCTCAGGTGGAGTAGGTGGTGATCACGTGTGTATGGAAGGGTGACATTTTCATTGAATCAGTGTCCAAAGAATAAAAATGTCTGCGATATGTGTGGGAAGGGAACACTGACCTTTTGTCTCGCGTTAGACAAAGAACCTTTCTCTGTTCCCCTTTCTCTGCTTGACACTTAACAGTGGAAAACAGTCTGTTTTGTGAAATCTTCCTACTTACACCTCTTTCCTGCCAGTTGAAGGGTCTGGTGACCTTCGAATCCAGGTAGACCAGCACATTTAGAAGTGTGTATTTCCATACTGGAGAGAGTACTGAAAATATTAGCTGGCGCTAATTGGGAGGCATTACATTTGTCCCCAGTAATAAAATTTACTTTTTAGCATGCTAACCACAAGAGGGATAATTACTAAGCCAGTTACTGCTATTAGATGATAATGTAGGAATCGTTTAATTTTCCAGCTTTTAGTGGATGGATCTGGTCTCGTGGTTGGTGGGGCTCTTCACTTTGCTGAGCAGATCACGTGGTGTCACTCTGTCCTGCTCTTTAACACACAGAGTTTTGCCTTCGTGCAGCATCAAAAGCCTGTTGAAAAACGACCTGAGCGAGTTAGCTGGCAGCTCTGCTTAATGTTTTTAGTGAAGATAACAGCGAGACTAAAAACAGTAGGAATTGCTGCCATTGAAATCCCCTAATCCTGGGGTTTTGTGTGGGAGCATTTCAGACTATGCTCACTCAGTGGGATTCATCCGACCTCATTTTAGATGCTTCCAATCTCGATGTCGACATCTGAGCCTGTCTCCTGGGTCCCATTTATAGCTGAAATACATGTTTTAAGTTGTGATTCTGTTCAATGCTTCATCTCCTCTCAAGCAGATGTCCAGAGCGGGCTGGACGAGTTTCGCTCGGCACTGTCTCGGCAGGGCTGGCTGCGTTACACGTGTCCAGCGTCCGGAGCGATGAGTCCCATCTACTGATGTGCCTTCTTCAGCGCTCCGCCAGCGAGCGCAGCCGCTGCCTTTGGGAGGTTGCAGCCCCAGCCCTGCACTTACACCTTCAGTTTGCCCCTCTGACAGATCTTCAACATTTGGTGCTACTAACTCGGGACGCAGCCTCCTCAGATCCTGGGCACTTTCTGCTCTGCTTGAGTGGATCTGAGCCTACGGGAGTGGCAGCATCTGGGAGACTCCCGTCCTCGGACAGTAATCTTGTTGGATTTTATCTTTAGTTACACTCCTTCTGCAGTGCTTTGTTTCATTTCCAATGTGTATCGCTTGCGTACGCCCTGACAAAAAGCAGCCAGCTGGACGTGAGCTGAAGCGATGTGTTGAGGCAATGTTGTATCTGAAGGTTTCCATGGTAAGAGCCGAGTCCTCTGGCTGGGCTTGAGCAGTGGGGGGGCTTTGGGGACGGCGCAGTGTCACCATCCCCGTGCCCAGGCTGCTCAGGCTCCTGCTGCTGCTGGCAGTGCTGTTGGCTGTGCGGGCTGACAAACAGACGGCACCTGAAAGCAGGAGTGAGGGCTGGGGAGTGAAACCTTCACAGCAGCACACCCAGCGCTGTGGGACTCTGGCCTGAGGGTAGTGATGGAAAAACGGAGGAGTTCTGAAACAGAGCCCTCGGTGTCTGACACAAAGAGATGGGAACTAAAGGTGGTGGCACATGGAATGTTCTGCAGGGCTTGCTCATGATTAGGCTGATTCTAATTCTGATTTAACTCTGATTCTCCTGATTTAACTCTGCAATTTTGCTTTCTTCTTTTTTTTTTTAATTTTTCTTTTGTGTAGTTGGGGTTTTTCTCTTTTGGCATTTATCAAATCTCCCTTGTTCCTGGCTGCGTTTGAGAAAATGTGATAGCTTCCAAAAGTGGTGCTGCAACATTGAGAGGTGTGTGGGTGGTTTGTGTGAGCTAACCTCCTGCTCCCCTGGGGAAGCTGAGCTCAGTGGGGCCGGGATTCTCCGAGGAATATCTAAAAGCTCACTTTATTTTCCCGTTTTACAACACCTAGAGAGGTGGAAATCAATATGAAGTGATTCCTTTTAGTTTTTAATGCCAGATGTGTACAAACACTTGCATTTAGTCTGGCGTATGTATTGCAGATTGAACAAGGACTTCCATTTAATGTAACACAAAAAATTTTGTATAATCTTAACTGTGTGTCGTTTGCCATAAAGATGGAATTTTAATTAAATTTTTTGGAAGAAATAACTGAGCTGTGTGTCTTTAGTAAAGCCCTTTATGATGGTATTTGATGTCCTCTCTGTTCCTTTCCTTGCTCTGCACCAGAAAGCGTTTGGCAGTGTACTGGGCAGCGGTTTGATCTGGATCAAGCAGTGAAGCAGTGATTCCCCCGACAGAGCTGATTCACTTTGTGTATGAGAGGTTCCAGCTCTGGATGCCTCTGCGAGGGCACACTCCAGATGTTCCCCAAACACTCTGGCTGTGCGCGGGTCTGGCCCAAATCCTTTTGGAATGCTTGATCCAAGGAACCAGATAGGTGCAGTAGAGCCTCGGCACCCATGGAGACGTGCTGGTCTGGTCCTGACGTGCCAGATGAGTTGCTGAAGGGGCCGAGCCGTGGTGGGTCAATCCCTGAAGGTGTTCGGGGAAATAATGACACTTGTGCTCTCTGGGCTCGCAGTCCTTCGGGGTGACCTCAGGCGCACGTGAGGGCAGAGGTCACTGGTGAGGTTCTGTGAGCAGCAGCCTTTGCTGGGTGTTTTTGTGTATTTTATAAAATTGATGTCCCTGGTAGTCAGAGCTGCTCATTCTGCTCACACAGAAGCGTTTGTGTACATCCCCTCCTGGCAGTTAGTACCATGTTGGATGTGATAATTTCACACTCCTCTCCTCTCCCTGACTTCCCACCTGGGGTAACAAACTCCAGGATGAGTTAAGCTGGTCCCGTGGGGGAGG